AAAGGACACAGACACACATGTTGTCATCTCCAGGCGATGTCCCAGTGCCAGCTGGAGCTCCCTGCCCGCTCCTGCCCTCCTTGGCCCCTCTCCTGCCCCATGCCAGAAGGCGCACCCCACGGCCGTGCCGATCCTTGAGCAGACACCTACGCGCTGAGCTCTCCTAACGACAGGTTTCATCCGAACCCTTGCGAGGGAGCGGTTTCACCCTCTGAGCCCTGCGAGCGCTCACGCTGTAACGCGCTGCACACGAGGCCGGAGGAGGTGAGGAGAAGTTCTCTGCCAGGCTCCCCGGCCTGCCGGGCGCTGCAGGAATTTGATCGGGGCTGCAGGAATTTGATCGGAACTGCAGGCTCTTGCCAGCTTACTTTATTAGGATTAGTCTTTCCAGCTGAAGAGACGGGGAAAAACAAAAAGGGAGCAAAGGAAGCATTGCATGTTGCATGCCATGAGCCTCATGCATGAACTTCGTGATTTGGCCAGCACTCGCCCACCGCTAACGGCGGAGCATGGCATTTCACCCGTGCTGCCTGCCAGGAGAGTGATTTTATCCTTTGGCACGAGAAGAAAGGCCAAGACTGTCAAAATGCACCGAGTGCTGTAAATCGTGCACCATGGGGAAGGTGCTTCGGGGACTCCTGCTCCATTCCTGCGCCCTGCGGCGGATGGTACAGGGGCTAAACGGGCGCCAGCGATGCCCGAGGCTGGAAGAAGTCTGCAGTGGTTTGGGGGTGCTGCGGGGGACAGGTACCCCATGTCCAGCTGTCCCTCGGGGAAGCCATGGAGCACTGCGTGCCGCTGCCGGGGACTGCTCCCGCTGCTGTAAGCGGGGTCTCAGGCGCCACGCCGCGATGCTGGATGGGGAATGGGAAGGCAGGACCATGTTCTGCGGGGATAATGCCCAGCCGGGCGCTTGCTCGGAGTCCCGGAGCTGGGGCAAGGCATAGACCTGCCCCAAGTCTGCAAACCTGGAGCTCATGCTGCAAAGCTCAGCACCCTTGAACCAGGGCTGGGATGGTACACAGTAATTGCCACAAGGATACTGAGAAGAACACAGTGATTGGCATCCTAAAAAG